TTGCCCAACGACATTATTAATGCGGCAGAAATAACAACTCCGATGGTTGGAAGTGATAGTTGCCAGATTACCTATCCACTAGAAATCTAAACTTACGGATCGATCCATAAACGATCCAAAATGTTTTAAGATCGGACCGACAGTACGGTCCACGATCTACTTTATTAATTAAATATTATTTAATTACTGATCCGGTCCGGTCTAAAAATAATATGAAGCCGTCGTTCGGTCCAATTTTGGTCTTTGATTAACGTTTAAGTGCGGTTCGAATCGACTAATGTCCCCTGGTAAAATTTGAAGTCCGGTATAGTTCTTAAAATAACGGACCGTGCAGAGCACTAGTTACAGCTATTGCCTCTTTAGATATTTATATTTTCCACGAAATTAAGACGATATTTAATTTGTTTTTATAAAACGATGGAAAAGGACCTCCTCCCATAACAAATTTAAAACTTCCTTTTCATATAAGTGTTCTCCCATATTAATTATTAATTTGTATAATACTCGTAGGTTATATAAATGAATATTAATTTTGGTTATTAATTAGTTTAATTAATTTTAATGGCAAAGGTATTTTTATTTTATATAGGTAGGTATATACATATTATTTTACACATTGGGCTGTGGATACCACCCTATGTGTCTCTTACCCAGTACCCACCCACCACATAATTCACTATGGCAGTCGCCATACTTGAATATAGGGATCGGCGCCACTGCCTATGGTATCTTTCGAGGTGTATGATACGCGAAACTGGAAACACAAAATCATTGTGAACGAGACAACACAAGCAATGTTTGTAAACTTGTATTACCTATCTATTATATAAAATTATATAATGATATTTTTTTACAACTATAGGAGAAAAATTCAACCCAAAAGAAGGGTTATAAGGCTGCCTATCCTATCACCCTATATGTACAACTATATTAAGAAGGTCTTGCCGCTTCAGTAAGATTACCAACTATAACCAAATATAATCAAAGGAAAATTTGAATGAAAAAAAAAAAAGATCTGTTAGGAAAAAGGAAAGCAGTTGGAAATAATTTGGTTAAAATGGCAGATGAGATTCTGTATCGTGTGGAAAATAATAGAGACAGCTTGAAAGATAGGTGGGGAAATAGGTCCTATATGGTGGCAGGTAAATACCACGATCAGACGTCTAAAATATTAAATCTAAATTACGGTTGCTTTGGGATTACAAGGGTAATATATTTGTGCCGAGTAACAAAACTGTGTACTAGAAAAGACCAATTTAATTGCCAGGCGTTACGGAGAAGCTTACGATGAATAGGAAGGAGATTGGAAGTAAGAATTTTATAAATAGATAGATGTGTGAATTATAGTGTGAAAAGCAAAATAGTCAGCTCGTTCATTGTCGGCTATACCGATGTTTTGAACCCATAGAAAATTAAAAATTTTATCAATGAGGCTTGGACGAAACATTAGAGATTTAATGATGAGAATTAAGCGAGACATAGAATAATTGAACAAGTCTTAGGAAATAGCGGAGAAGCATGATTTTGAGTCAGAAATAATGAGAAAGTTTTTGGAATCGTGGGTAAAGATGAACTGAAAAGCGTTTATTAATGGATCACATTCAGTGGTAAAGAATAGAACGAGTAAATTTAGTTTTTAGAAAAATACATATTCAGAGTAGGAATAAAAAAGGAGAGCCAGTTAAGCTAGCCAAAACAGAACCATCAATGAATACTAAAAGAAAGCTTTGGAAGTTGAATAACATAAAATCGTTTAACAAGGAATCAACAAAAGAATTAAAGAGGCGAGATAATGCATTAGGAAAGTAATCAAGGAAGTTGGGAGGAACGGTAACTTTGAGGATATGAATTAATGCAAGGTACGGGTGTCGTAAAATTGCAACCGAAATTTTAAAAGGTAAATTTCTGAGGTGAAAGCTGAAAAGAAGTAAGCGACGAAGGCTAAGATAGGAATTCTAAGAAATTTTAATGGACAGTATTTTTTTTTTTTAATAGTATTCAAAAAATATTAATTAGGTGAAGATATGTATTTTAGCAGAAATTTTCCAACAAAACCTCAACTTCTTAGTTTGATTGAGAGACAAGCATATCTCTCCTCTTAACTAGCTAGAGGAGATAAGTGCAAGAAATCGATGTAGATAAGATACTAAAATTAAATTAATTTTTTTCCGTTGAGTGAGAGAAGCGATGCGAAAATAAATGATCCGTAGTCAGTTTTAGCTCTGATGACTTCGTTAAAGATTTTATGATGACAAGATTGATGTTACCCTCAACTAGAGCCAGCTGTAGCTGTGAGAAAATTGGATCAATGAGAGATTACATGTTTGAGAAAATTGAAATGTAGAACCCATCTATTCAGGGTTGAGTTTAAAGTCGAGGTAAGCGATCAAGGATGAAGATGGTATAATTTGATAATTAAATAAGATATGAGAATGAATTTATATTTTCCTGCGAGTGAAAATCATTACTGACTCTTTATTAGAACAATAGTGGAGGTTGCGGCAAAGAGTTTGGATGAGAGTGTAATGAAGGTGTTGGTGTAAACAATTTGTTAGAAAGAAATACAACTACATCGTCCGTATAAAGAACAACTTTGAAATTCTGAGAGATTAAAGAGAGCTATATGAGGGACATATTACATTAAATTACAGAGAAAAGCTCCCTTGAAGAAGGTCTCTTTATGTTAGACTATATAAGAAGAAACTGGAAGGAGAAATGATTGTTGAGGAAACAGTGAAAGATAAAATTACATATAGAATTTAGTATGTGTAGAGAAATGAGGAGGAAAACCAAGGTGGGGATATGTACTAAATCAAAAACGCCTTTAATATCTATGAATGATGAACTTAGGAATTCTTTATTGCAAAAGAACTTATAAACCAGGCCAACGAAGGACAACAGACATTCCATGGTCCCATACCGCGTCGGAATACAAATAGGTTATTAGGGACAAAGTTGTATTTTTATAGAAACCAATCTAGATAAGTTTTGATTATACTCATATATTCCACAATTTTACAAATATCAAAAGATAATGCGATAGGCTTATAAGCAGAAGAACACTATTGAACTTAAAGATAGGAATTACATGATACTGGTTCCAAGAATCTTGGATCGTATCAGATTAAAATTAATATCAGTATTAAGAAGAAATGTAACTACAAATTTAAATGCGAAACAAAGTAGACTTGTAAAGTAAGAACTTTATAATTGTCAAGAATCGGGTGATTTCAATCATTCTGAGGTGAATTTACTCAGAAAAAATATAGGTACACGAAGCTTAAGGATAAGAAGAAAATAATATTTAGATAATGTTCGATACATTATAAGAAAATGTAATGGATTTAAATTTGACAGGGACATAAAAAAATATTTTTATGAGATCAGTCCAAGTTCGATAGGAAAAATTAGAGTAACCTTCTTTGTTTTTAAATTTGATGTATTCTAATATTGTAATTATTTTTAGTATCTGAAAATAAGGTGAGCCTCATTTTTTAAACTCAATCGTTCCCTCAATTCCCAGGTAAAATAAAGTTATGAACCCTAACGTGTTACTGGTCTACCATCAATAAAACGACAACTAACAACTAATGAAGAATACGTAGTATGTCCAATAAATACGTATATACATAATATGTTTAATAATAACCATAATTAGATAAAAACGACAGTGAATATTGTTTTAAAATTTGTAAATCCTACATAATAATAATATTATTATATTAAATTATTTACAAAAATATATATTTCAAGTTATATAAAAATTATAAATATTTTAGTTTCCTTTTTTTTAATGCAGTTATTTAAAAAAAAAAAATAAAAAAAATATTTAATAAAAAAAAATTCAAAAGATTTGTTCAATTTTTGGACTAGAAAAATTGAAATTTTTTAGTGGAAGGTAAAAGAAGATAGTTTTTCATTAACCTATAGTCCTCTTAAAGACGTTTCTATATACTCATATAATATATGTATACATGTGTATTGTATATTATGTATTTATATATTATGTATACAAAAAATACCCTATGTTAAGTTTAGAAATATCAATCACATATTATTTATTGCTTAAGAGTTTGAAATATGAAATATTTATTTGTATGCATGAGTTAAAAATTATTTTCATTGAGTACTATAATTTGTAAATTCTAATATGATTAATTACGCTTTCAATTAATCTCAGTCTTAATTTTTTTCCAGTGTTATTCAAAAACATATTATTGTAAGTAATAATAATGGTGATACAATATTTACAAAAATAAAAATTAAAAAAAATCAAGTATAATAGAAACCATTTATTTTATCAGCTGAAACAACAAATTGGTAATTATAATTGACATTTGGTGGTTTTAATAGAAATTGGTACAATTGAAAATGGAAGAGATATTTGTTAAAATATATTTCCTTTTCAAATCATTATAAATGGATTCTATTATACTTAAATAAAAAATATTAGGAATATATTTGTGCCAAATTTGTTTTAAAATGTTATAAGTCTCATAATAACTTTATAGATCAGCGGTTCTCTAACTGTGGTACGCGAAAGACTACATGGTGGTACACGAAAGGCCATATGGTGGTAGAATGGAAATTAAAAATTCAATATTTAACTCATATATTAATTTAAAAACACTAATAAATTTGTATAAATAAATAAATAATTATTTTATTTTAGTATTTTACTGCCTTTTTGTTTAAAATAAATATATTTAACTATGTAAAGTTTATATGGTTTTATTTTTTATCATTAATGGTACGTGACTGATTGATAATATACTTAAGTGGTACGAGAAAAAAAAAAGTTTGAGAACCATTGTTATAGATAATCAAAAACTAACAGTCATAATTTTAACAATATTTATAATTTCATGAATTGTAAATTTTTGGTAAAAATATTATAACAAAAATAAAACAAATTAAAACAAAAAAATATAAATATTTAATTTAATGAATTAATAAATAACAGAAAAGTTAATTTTTACAATAAAATATTTTAAATTAATTTAACTAATTAAATCTGAGACACTATTTTTATACTTAGAAATAATATGATATTTAAGCAGTCTTTGTTTATTAGATGCAGAATTTTGAAATTGGTAAAAACAGCAGATGTTGGATAATAGACTTTCATTTAATGCCAAATCAGGATATCTCTGTATAGCGTCCTCCAATAATGATATTGCATTATTTAGTTGGCCTTCATAAAATAAACAAGTAGCCATATTGTTCAACACCTGTAATAAATGCACCAATATGTTATTGCTATTAAATAATAAATTAATTAAAGCAGTAGATAAATTTTAGTCACCATAACATTATTGGAATTCAATACATAAGCATTTTCAAAATGTTTGTATGCTTCTTTATAATTATTTTGAGCAATGGCTAATAATGCAGCATCTATTAATTCACGGTAATCAGCTTTATTTTCACTATTTGTTTCTCTATAGATATAGAAAAAAATTAACATAAAACAAAGTGAATTTATTTAGTATATTTACTGAATTTGTGGTTTTAATCGAGATGATTTAAGGAAGTATCCATGAGCTTTTAGATCACCAACTTGCAAAAAAATACGGCCCATTGCTGATAAAAGAGAACGAGAATGATCTGTAGTATACTTCAATCTTGGAGTTTCAATAAGGTCTTTTAATAATTGAATTGCGAGTTTGAAATCCTAAAAATAAAAATTTAAAAGATTAAAATTAATTTTAATTTTTAATGAGATTTAAAATTATAATCGACCTTTTGATTTAATGCACAATTAATACATGAATGTATTACTCTAGCTTCTCTTGTGTACCACAATACTTTTGTTGTGTTTCGATCTTGGACTGTTAATTCTACATTTCGACCATCTTCAGCCAGACCATTATCTAAATTTTTAATGATCTAAATGAAAAAAAATATTCATTAATAATATCAAAAATAAATACTACCATTAGGGATTATAATACATACTTTTCTAACACCGATAAGCACTTCAAATAGTTTTTTATAAACATTAGTTGATGGTGTTACATACTGAGGAAGTTCGGCCAGTAAAAGTCTAAAGCCAAATGGTACAAGCGAACCATACTTATTACCATACAGTTCTTTATACCATTGCATATAGAGATCTGGGTGATCTAAATCATCCCAAGCCAAGGCTTCTTTGCTGGCTATTTTCCATGCACAGATTTTCACCAACAATGAAAATCTAGTAAACCATAACTAAAACACAAGAATTGATTAAATTTATCAATACAACACACTCAATATCAATTCTTAAGAACACTATTATGAATGGGTATTACCTGAAGGGAATGTTTTGTGTGTTTACTAGCATAGCCCATTTGTCCAGGACCTTGACCATACATTGCCAACAATCTAGTTGTCAAATTTAATGCTTCAGAATAGTTTCCATCTTCAATTAACAATTTCAAACCTCGCTCATCTTGAGTTACTTCTTCCGTAGTTTTACTTTTAAACGCAGCTGCCTCATTTTCACCAAGGTATGATACAAGAGCTTCATATGTTTTATTCGTCTATAAAAAAAAAACCTTATAACTGAACATTATTATACACAATATATACTGTGGTGTTCCTATTAATTTGCTGATTGTATACTGCACTGATGAGTGTTTGAATATGGAAATTGTTATGATTTAAACAGTAGTAGTAGTAGTGGAAAAGGGTTTGTAAATATTAACAAAAAATTGAAACATAAATTTTTATTTTTTACAGAAATTAAAATTATTTAAATACATTGATACCATTGAAATACACAATAATGTCAATAATTATTTCATAGTAATACAGTGATCGTCTCAGAAAAAATTGAACGTCTAAGATAAAATAATGCCAAAATTAAAATTTGTAGAACTTATTACATTTAATTACATTTAATACTTCTATTTGAAATGCTTGAGATATGAGAGTATACACAGTATACCCGTGAACTTTCAAAATAATGTTGTTGGCGTGTATGTAGAATACCCGAAGGGGATACTACTGAATATACAAATATAATATATATATAAATATATTATTGTTATACAGTAAAATTTATCTATAAAGTCATTAATCTTGGTCCTATTTACTTCTTCAATTAAATTTAAGACAGTGTGTATGAATATAAACTATTATTATATTAATATTTATATACACATACAAAATTAACATTTTCAACTCCTGGCATTGTTAACATGTCTCTGGGTAATGTATGATTCATTTGTGAAGCTTTTTCAAGAATATTTTTTGTTTTAGTAGATGGTATCCAAGCAAATCGTCTTCTCTCGTCTTCTGTCGGAATAGAAGATAGTTCCAACTCATGACTGAATATATTCAAAGGATCAATACGATCATTTCCAGTGTTTAAAAACGAAACTGTAAAATGTAAATATCATTGTTATAATACTTTAAAACAAAAAAATATAAAATCAACACATTAAAATTCAATAATTTATTCCAAAATATAATATACTTTTATGAAATTTGATTATTATCTATACATTGTATTATTAGTGTATTAAGTGAGATATTAAGTACCATTATAAATAATAAAATACAAATTATACAAAGGACCATCACTTTATATCAAAACTCAAATGAAAAATATTTAAATTTATGTATATTCCCAGTAAAATTATACAAAACAATCAACAGAAAATTATGGTAAGTCATAAGATTAACAACTTAGAAGTAACTTTTGTAATGGCTGATTACATCGGTACAAATATAAAATGTAAGCTGACCTTCTCGGATTTCAAATCCAGGACTATTAGTATGGCCATTGTCAGAAGATTTGATTATATCAAATATGTCTGTCTTTTTAGTTTCTATTTGCTGAAATATACGACAAACAGCTGGCTCTTCTCGTTTAGTGTCAGTTGCAGCGTGTGATGATATATCGTCAAACAAGTTAGAAGATGGTGATGGATCTTTAAAGTACTCATTAATCGCAGGTCGTAGTTCAGGTGTTTTCCTATCCATATTTCGGTAAAAAATAAACTATTAAATTTTTAAAATTCACAGTGACATTTTTAAAAAATTATCAACTTCTTATCAAATATCCAAATTAAATTATCAATACCTAATACCTAATTTTCTAAATAAAACAGCTGACAAAATCCCGTTACTTTTATTTTTAATACATTAAATTGTATAATGTATATACAATTATTTTTTATCAATCAAGTGGTTCAATTTTTTTTTTTTTTTATTCTTTTTTTCTTAGAATGTAGTATTTGTGTTTTTTGTGTATGTGGACAAAAATGTGAGCGCTCCTGATTAAAGTACAAAAGATTACTTTTACATTCTAATTACCTACATTTTAAAACATAATTAATTATTTATTGTAACATTGCGTCTTCTATATAGTTAAATATTTTATATTAAAATAAATTTCGATATTCGATTCTGTGTACCTGCGATTTTTTTCCTCTATAGGTAATTATAGATTGGTGTTATAACAATTGTACATAAGCATATCTACATCGTATTTATGGGTATGAATTTTAATTATTTATCTTGTGTTGAAACAGAATAAAATGGAGATAAGTATAATGCCATCAAAATGTTTGAATTTAGTAATGGACGAGTCGCACACCAATTCTAATAGTAATAAAAAAATTATGAACACAACCATGCCTACTGTTTCATCATTGTCAAAATCAGTAAAACGAGCATTAGAGTCTGGAACTACAATAATTCCTATTTATTCAAATTCCAAGTGAGGACATTCAAATATAAAATCATGTTTAGTATATTGATTTCCTTCACATATAAATGTAAATATTTTCGATTTCAGACAAGTCAAGTTAGAAAACGGAAATTATGGACGTATGGGCAAAGGTGCAATAAATAACTTTCCAATTAAACTGCCTGCCACTCTGTTAGCTGAGTGTACTGTAGAAATTTCAAATTTACCTAAAAATAATTTTTTGTAAGTATAGTTTTCTTTACATTTATTTAAATATCGACACATTTTTCTATTTATCTTTATCAAGTTTCGATAAAAAATAAATAATTTTCTTTCTAGTTACAAACCAGTTCCAATGCTTACAGATAAAATATTAGTTAGAGAATAATATTTCTGTGATTGATTTTAATTCTAATTTGACTATTTTTCTAATTTTACCCAAAGTAAGTTAAAACTAACTCATTATAAGAGTGATAAAATTTCTTTTTTCTTATTAATAAGTGATTTTTATTTTATTTTTAATGTTTAAATATTTAATTTATGTAAATATATTAATTATTAATGTTTTAAATTGTCTTATTTTTTCCATATAGGTTATTTTAGTTAACTAAATGTAAATAGTCTAAACATGTAACCAAAATTATTCAAATTTTTAGAATTTTAAAATATTTAATAATTTATAAAACATTAATTGGATTTTTCATTAATTTATCAATCAGTACAAAAATAATATTTTTCAATGTTCCATTAATTACTTACATAAGAAATGTATTGTTATACTACAAATAAGTTTCATCATTAGTTCAGAACCTAATAATAAATATGAAATTGTTATAGGCTATAAAAGAATAAATTTGAAATACCATTATTAAGAATTATATTTTTATAGTTTTTTTTTTTTTGTACTCTTTTAATAAATTTTTCATTTGTATTTTTTTCTGCAGACAACATAATGAAAAGAGCTTAACTATTACAAAGAGTAACTTAAAGAACTGTCAAAACAAAATTGCAGTTGAGAAACAGGTAAAATATTGTATAATACTATGTGGAGATCTGGAGATGTGCCTTTTCAAATTCTTGTACACATTATTGTTTTGTTGAATGATTGTATATATTTATAAATATTTTTTTTTCTACTTTAACAGTGAAATAAATTTGCAAACATTGTAAAAACTTTAATAAGAATAACATTAGGTTATGTTGTAATATCAGCTTTGTATTTGTATTTTATTTTGTGATATAGCTGAAAGCTACAGAAAAAGAAGTAACAGAAATAGATATTCGTGATATGATGACAAGTGTTGAAGCCGTTTACTCTGATGATGAAGATACTCCAAAACCTATAGAACCTGATTTGGAAATTCAACAATCAGAAAATCTTTTTCCATTTTCATGTGAATATTGTCCAAATAAATTTAGTAACCGTGGTGCTCTCTGGCAACATACTGTTGCCTCTCATTCTATTGAAAAAACATGCGAATGTAATTTGTGTGGACGTAAATTTTACCGTAATTGCAGTCTTGCATTACATATGAAAAGCCATTCAGATGAATATAACTGTGCATGTTCTATTTGTGGCCGTGAATTCAATCGATTTACATTATTACAACGACATGCAAAGCTTCATTCGGAGGTAGCACAATACAAGTGCACAGCGTGTAATAAGTCATTTGAAGATCTTAACACATTACAGTTACATGCCGTTGAACATAAAGACAAATTGGCATGTGAACGGTGTGATGCTGTATTTACTACTAAGGAATCATTGGACATACACTCAGAAGCAATGCATGGTGAACAACGAGAAGATGTCATACAAGACAGAATGCATGGTGGTGAAAAATCATATGCATGCCGTTTTTGTGGTAAAACTTATGGGGCCAAAGCTATTGTTAAGAAACATGAGCTCATTCACACTGGTGAACGATTAAAATGTGACGAGTGTGGTATTGAGTTTACACAGAAATCATCACTAATGCGTCATACTAAACGTATTCATCCTACTGCCAACACACCATAGATAAATAAAATAAGTGCCTTAAAATTCCAATATATATAAAAATTAGATTTTATAAATGGTAATATATATATTACATAATATATATTTTATTTATTTGCAGAACTTATAAAAATATTTATGATTAAATATTATTTTACTATAGAGCAACATTGACAATTCCACCGTGAATATGTTTAACTTAACTATTTTTATTAAAGGAATGATAAATTTATATCTTCAAATTAAGAACTGAATTCTACTTATTTAAAATACTTGATACATTTTACTTTAAATTATGTTTACTCATAAATGACTGCATTAATTGTATCCTCTATTTTATAAATATTCTTAAGTATATAAATACTCGCGTTTACACTAATTAAAACTACTTAAGTGATTTTCTATAAGACTTGATAAAACTGCCTGTCCATGACTGTTGTTACGTTTTGAAATTAAGTATGAACACATTTTTATTTTTACTCTAATTGATGGTTAGTTATAAGTTTTTAAAGAAATTTAATCTTTTAATATCCAGGGTAATCTATTACTGTGATATGTAAAGACAGGTGCTAGAATTGGGTATTCTAGATAAGTTGTATGTGTTATAAATATATGAATACCCAATCCATAATTTACATTTACAACAATTTTGATTTTTGTTTTTTCTTCTGTGATAATTTTAGAAACTGAGATTTTTAGGTGTATAAATATTTTATTGTTAGTCCCAAAGTCTGTTTGAAAGTGCAATTTATTTTATTTCATTTGGTTATAATTGAATACAATTTTATTTAGATTTAACTATTTTTAATTAGATTTAGTTCCCTCATAATTTTAATTTATGGTAAGTTCAAATCAATTTTAAATTGATTATCACAATCTTAATTTTATTATTTGTTAATATTTGTTGCTCTATACTTATGGTAGTAATTTATCACATTATTATAATTATGAAAAATATATTCTTGTCATAATTAAATACTAAATTTAAATTTATTTACATTACATTACTTATGACAATGCATTTGAAATAGATTTAACTACTTGGTAAATACTTAACTGTTATTTTGAATTGTAAATATAAGATATATCCATAATACATCATAATAAAGCCATTGTTAAATAGATAATATTAATAATTGTATATCTATTTAAAATGTAAGGATGTTCTATTTACTCAACCTCAGTAAATTTGCCTCTTTAAAACTTGATTAATGTTGATACATATTTTCTACTATGGCCAATTAATTTTATAAATTTGTATATGTTAATTTATGATTATTATTATTTATACATAGTTTAAAATGTTGATGATAAGAATTCTATTTTATACTTGTAAATTATTGTATTCTGAAGTGCAAAAGTTGTTATTTATCAAATTATCTAAGTATGGGTTTTGTTATATTATTAAATCTAATATATACTTTAGTTAAATTGTTTAATATAAGGATATTATTAATATACTACCTAATACCTATGTATTTAATTACAACATACTGATCAATGTACATGTATTAACTTAAAACAAAATTATCGAAGTACATAGGAGAAAATTTATTCAATGTTAGTTTTCTCTGAACATAAATGACTGAATAGGATAATAATGTAAACATTTAAACCGACTGTAAACTCATCCATTGATAGTAAATCTATAAAGGTTTACCAAAATGTCACCTAACATTTTCCATTGAACTGATATTGACAATATTTTCAATGTTCCAAATCATTAAGGACTGTTTTCCAAATATTAAAAATATTTTTAATTATATTTATAAAAAATATATTTAGTTCATTTATATTGTTAATAATTTGTAAGATTATTTGAATAACCGACAATTTCAAAGATATTAATCAACACTGTGATTATTTTATTATTTTTATTATTATTATTATTATTATTATTTATTAGGTGCAATTAAAGAGACAAGAACAAATTATATTTTAAGAATATTATTATTATATTGTACGCGTATTTACATGTAATCATTATTGTTTTATTTGTCTGAAATAAAATTAAAACTCTTCGATTTATTGAAAATTTACTTTATTTTTATTTTAATACGATAATATTCGTGAAAAAAAAAACCAATCATCAATTATTCTAGAACGAACCGGTTACCATCAGAATTCGAAAGTCGGTAAACGGCGATCACTGAACTGAACGGTTGCACTAGATGACGCAACGTCTCAGAATAGATTATGAGTCATGGAGTAATTTTTAAATTGATCCGGGTCCTACTTTTCGACAACGAACGGAAACAACGTTGTTTACCGTCCGACTCCCGGTCGTTCTCTCGCACTATATCCGTGACGTGAACAGCGCAGTTGGCTCGCCGGTCCGGTGAGCGCGCCAACGATTTAATTGTACTCGTTAAACTGTGAAAATATTCGTCTCTTAGGTGTGCTACACTGTTATATGGGTAGGTTATCAATTAGTGTTGCGAGAACTGTTGCCGCTCGTTATCGATTTTTGTCTACGTCCGCCGACCGATCAACATTATTGTTTACGCCGAGAACGACACTTCGACAGTTTTCAAACTTCATTAAGTTTTCATCGGAATCGATCGGTCAAAATGATGGAGGAGGATGTGATAACGCCACCGGAATTGCAAAGGTGCATCGTGTGTTACATACGCAACAACAACGTCTATGATGCCACTCTGTTCGAGTGAGTTACTATTATTCAAGCGATGTAGTTGAGCGAGAGATGCTTCGACAACGATGTGTGTAATAATATCCCAACCGCGACGGTTTTGGTTATCAACTGTAAACTTTTCTAGACTATAAGGCCCTCCTCACACGGGGATACTCAAAAGAAACTGCAATCGTCTAGGTACTAAGAGACTGGGTGACTAGGTAACTATAGTTGCCGGTTATCTTCACACACAGTATATTAAATTTTTGTTTCTACTTTTTTAAACTAGTATTGTCCTACTATTTCGACAGTACAGTTCAGTTAAACATTTATGCAACTATAAAAAATATGCAATTAATATGCATTTTCATTGAAATATACAAAAATACGTAAAAAAAATTAACCATAGAATCTATACATTATGAAACATCGACATTTATAATCAAAATTATTATTCTAGGTGAATTGTAGAAGAATATGCATTTGTATATAAATCCGAGCCCTAATCATAATAATATATTAAAATATACATTCAAATATATAAACAAATTATAATTAATTAAAAATAATAAATTCTTTATAGTCATGTACTCAGAACCAATTATTATTATATTATTTTGTTATACATATTATTATTATTATTATTATTGTGATAATACTTGATTATTCTCGGCCTTACCTGTGAGCTTAACTTTTGAGGCTACTTCACTCCAAGCTTTTTCCGTTATATTTGTTTTGGAGTTGCTTTTTAAGGTATAATTATATAGCTCGGGATACTTTTCTATTTGTTGCACAAATTTTATATTAAAATTTTGATCCATGTTATATTATTTTATTATGCACGAAATAAAAATTACCAAGCAACTCGATCAACCAAAGTAGCGAGGTGACCGGCATGTCTAGTCACCAGTTGACTAGTCGCATCAGTTTATCAGTCATGGCGACTTTAGTAGCGCCGTCTGAATGATGCCATTCAAACATACACGAGCAGTTGCCTAGTTTCCTAGTACCTAGGCGATTGCAGTTTCTTTTGAGTATCCCCGTGTGAGGAGGGCCTAAGAGTTGAACTCTGACCAGCCTGGACTGAATGTTACGACAATCGGACACTGCGAAACTCTTAAATTAAGAAGAGACGTTTTCTTTTTTTCTTTACCCAACATTTTGTATTATAATATTTAATACATTATGTCCTTAGACTATCTAAAGAGAACCAGTAATTAAAATCTTTCTGGTATCTGAAAACTTATCCCTTAGAAAGTTGATGTATCTTAGTATCCAATGGTGTAGTCATAGAGAAACTATTGTCTTCCAACATTATGGACCGTGTTTATGTGCATGTGTATGAAGTATGCTAGGGTACTACTTTTGGTATTTAAGTATTTTAAAACATTAGAATTAATTAAATGTTGATGAATAACGGGTGTTTGTCTCTTTTACTTAAGCGTAGTCTCCATGATTACACTAAATTTTTAGTGGTTATCATGAATGTTGTGAAAAAACCTCGTCTAACGCTGTAATTTTATATACTATATTTTAATGAATATTATTAAAACTATTTTAAAATGCTGTAAATGCATTTATTAATTTGATGGTGGTGGAGGGAATGAAGGATGAACTCTTTAATGTTTTCTTACCTAACCTGCCCAAAAACATGTTTAATCCTTCCCATTTAAAAAATCTGGCTATGCTACTGTGAGTATCCAAACATTTTTCCATCTAAAATCTATACAACTATTTAAAACTAGGTTAGGTAACGACATGGTTGTATTAATCAATAATGTTAACAGTTTATTTGTTTATGTTTTAGATTCCCTGACAATGTGGAAACTCGTAAATTGTGGCTGAATGCTTGCGGATTTAATGTTAACATGGAAATTAGTCCTGACTTTAGAATTTGTTCCAAACATTTTGAAAGGGATTGCTTTCAACAGGTTCCAAATCCAAATTTAGAACACCATAATATACGTTTGGTTTTAAAACCAAATGCAGTTCCTACTAAGTTTAATAGAATGAGGTAAGCACAGATCCCAATAGTTTAGCTTTAAAATTATTACAGTTAGTACAGTTTTGTTAATTATTTGTTTGGATTTTCAGTGCACATTCCCACATTTCTGGTAATTATGGTCCAAGTTGTAGTAGAGTTTCTTCTAGTTCTAGTAGAGTTTCTGGACCTAGTAGAAGTTCTTCTGGTCCTAGTGGAAATTCTGTTTCTGATGAAGTTTCTTCTAGTAACATTCCAAGTATGTTACATTTAAATTATTTTTTTTATAATCTAGTGTTTATTGGATTAAATGACAATACTTCTATTTAACTTTTTGCTACAACTCTTGCACATTTTTTTATAATATAAAATTATATTTAAATGAGTTTATCAGTCAAGCTAATAATGGTTTTGCTGTCTTGGTAAAAATGAATCCTAGTGAATACTGCATTGCTTTCATTTATTTCATATACAATTTAATATTAATTTTAACATGTTCAATTATTTATATTTACAGGTAATAATGACATAGAAAAAATAATCACCATTAAAAATGTGATTGAATCATCTAGAGTTCCTATAGTTTTTCACAATATGCTAAATGATTGGGAACCCTTTAAATGGGGTATAGATGATTGGAAAACGAAATTGTATCGCCATCCGATTCACTGTAGAAAAGGAAAAATAACATGTACAAAAGTAAATTTAAATATAAATAAAATAAAAAATTAACCATTTTAATGAAAAATAGTTTTATTCATATATTATTTATTAGGAACCTTTATGGGAACATCTTTGTACTAATGAAGATAGTACATTTATTGAATTAGATAAAACTTCTGAAACTATTGAGACTCATGGAAATTGGTTATATTTTGACTATAAATACATTGGAGAAAAAATTGATGCTGACATATTTAATGTTTGTTGTTTTTAATAATTATAAAACATAATTTGTTTAATACTTATCTTTTTATATTTAGTCTGTATCATGGGATGAATTAGGTTATGATATGAGTGCTGAAGAGTCAACTTTATGGATTGGAGGTACTGGAGCTCATACACCATGTCACCAAGACTTATATGGTATTAATTTAGTGGCTCAAGTTTTTGGAAAGTGAGTTGATTTTGGTTCATATTGTATATTACTTTTTATTTTTTAATAGGAATAACTATTAGAATAAGGTATGATAATATGGTTTTATAATAAATAAAAATGTTATAAAAAATAATACGTTTTGCTATTTTTCAATGAAAATAAAATATAATTGTCCATTTTATTCAATCGTAGAGTTTAAAATTGTAATTTCATAGAAAACGTTGGATTTTAATGCCACCTGAAATGGAAAAATATTTAGAACCCACTAGAATACCTTATGAAGAATCAAGTTGCTATAGCAAAATTAACTTTTCATGTCCGGAAAATATTAAAAGTAATTTTATTAATTGTAAATAATGTTATCATAATAACAATTTTATATGTTACAGAAATTGATAAAAATTGCAAATATGTATCTGTAATTTTATCACCTGGTGATGTTTTATTCGTTCCACATAAATGGTGGCATTATGTAGAAAATTTAACTACTGCTGTTAGTATTAATGCTTGGATACAGGTTCCGAAACTTGACAATGTGGCTAGATTAAAAGAGTCAGTGGTTCGTTTCATGGCAGGCAGTGTTTGTAGTGTGACACTTGATACTTTACACAAACAACTCTTAAATCCAAATGAAGTAATTTCTGAGTACTATTTATTTCAATAGTATAATAAAAAGTTAACTGATCAGTAGAAAAAATTGTAAAAATTGATTTTTCCTATACTTTTTTTTAGCCATACTCACGGTTTATGACTCTAGAATCATCTCTTTTGATTGACCGATGTATTAAAGAAGTGGTATATATAATATGGATATAGTTCAAAGTTTTTTTTTAGTTATTTTTGTAAATTATGTTATTTAGATTGAAAATGAAAAAGATACTACAGATGAACCAAAAATATTAGATCCAGCATTACTTCCAAAGATACTTCCAAATTTGAAATATGAAGCACTTATACCAGATCAACACTTGTATAGAGGAGAATTTGACACTGTCTACCACAGAATTCATCATTCATTAACACCTTTAAGTTCTATGAGTAATACAGATATTAGTTTTAAATTATTAGATGCTTTTTGTAGTGAAAATGTTGTAAATGAAATTGTTAAGAATCTACTTAAAAAAGATTAGAAGCTCCAATTTCTTCTGAGATTTTGTGTAATTATGTAAAAAAAAAACAGTCTTTATATGAAAATTAGTGATTTTATTAAATTAAATAATATATAAAAAATACTCTGATATTAATGCTCTTGCTAGCAGTTTTATAATTATACTTCTATATCTATTTGACTCATAATACTTTAGTCATACTAAAATATATATATATTGACTACGTTTGAAAATTGTAAGTCGTTTTTCAATTTTTAAATGTATTTAAAAGAAGAAAAAAAATTCAAAAACTAAAAAAAATTTACCTGTTTAAAGAACTGTTGATATCCACTTTACAAATTATATCATGTAGCTATAATATGAAACATTTGTTGCGCTTAATTTTACTACTCACATTTATCAATAGGTGAAAAATATCATTTTAAAACCAATAATATCTTTCTTTTTTTAAATATTAAAATATTTTCCATATTAAAAGTCTCTTTTGAATAAAATCTCTCAAAACCAAAAAAATTTTCTAGTTTTATATTTCATTCTAAATTTGTCTAAAATATATTTAACTGCAGTTTTTCTACTATTTTCAAAGATTATTTTTATTTCATTCAGTTAATTTATTTTTTTTCATATTATAATTTAAATATTCAAATTTGTATAGAATATATGGTATTACTTTTCCTATCAAGTGTGTATAAATGTTGTGAATTTTTTTAATTATGTGTGATTTAATTATTTTTTCTAATGACTTATTGTACAAATGTGTATGTATAGATTGTCCTACTTTTGTAAAAATTAAAAAAATGTGTACAGATTTTTTTATTTCTTTAATTTAAAAATGAATGTCTTCAAACTGAATGATTTTTTAGCCTTAAAAAAAATCTTGAGTATTTTACTGATGACAAGTGAGTTGGAGTCGAAAAGTTCTAACATTGCTTTTTTACTAATGTGTTTTGAATCCCAGTCTGATTATAGCTAAGAATTTTTCCATCAAAGAAAAGTTATTTAAAAGACATTTATGAAAAATACAAAGTTAGGTGACATAACAGAAATTATATTTTTTTTCTCCTCGTGTTGGATGATAACTTTAAACAGTTGCTTATAGAAATTAAATGTTATACATAGTTTACATAATTTGAAAACAATTTTTTTGTGATCGGTAATAAATTATAATGGGGAAAATATTTATTGTTTTATAGAACAACCAGTTTTATTATATAGAACACGAAATCTCTTTTAGGAGGATAAAACTGAAAGTGTAGAGTGAAGTATATTTCACATCAGTTGAACACGGTAACAAATTATCTCTCATTTTATATGGTTGTTAGCAAAACAATGAAAGCACACAATCTGTTTCCTCGCGTTGTTCTTTCTAAAAGAATGTAAAAATAAAAAAGGTTAAACTCATGTTTGGTAATGCAGTGTCGGTCTGGCCCACCCAGATACTTGGTGATTGTCGGAGACCCTAAGATTTATTCTTAAAATAGGGGCCTGACACAACTATACTAATATGAAAAGTTATAATAATTATTTTCATGAATTAAAATTATGTTACTCTTCTATTAACCTTGAACTATTGTTGACGTGATACATAGAGTAATAATATAATAATAGTAGTAGATCATTTACTCTATGACGTGTATAATACAACTAAGTATAACCTCTATAGTTCAAACATTTTCATTTTCTTGATAAAAATTAAACAAATATAAATATTAATACTTAAAAATTAAGATAAATATTGTAAACAATCACATACATGGACACAACGATAATTTTTAGAATTCTATTGGCTTTGGTAAAATGTAAGAATAAATTAAAATGTATACTATTTTAAGCACAGCCAAAAAAAATTAGTTGGTAGTTATTGAATCTCACTTTAGCATTCTGTTGTTTAGGTGCCCATTAAAAATTTCTTACCGGAGGTTCAATCATGAACCAGACCAACACTGGTTGAATCATAGACATAGTATAAATAATGTATAATATAATAATTATATTATGTCTAAGGGGTGAATGATATTACTATATTGGTCTTTTAAACTTGAAATCAATATAAACCATGATAAAACAAATACATTTGTTTCACCCTAAATATATAAAATACTTTAATTTCTGTGGTCAATTTATGTTTTAATAATACATAGGTACAAATTTGTGTTAGTTAAGTACACAATTTCATTGATAAGGCTTTATTATATTATTTTTAGTATATAGTATATATTAAAATAATATAGACTTTAATTCATTTTTACAATTAGGTAACCGATAATAAATACGAGTCTATATATCAATACATATAATATATGTATATTATGTATACACGCGCGCGAGTAGTTGATCGATTAATGACTTCAACAAAAATATTAATTTGTTTAATATATTCAACTATATTTTGATTATAAATATATCGATTGGGAGGGTTTGAAATTTCAATGCTAATCATTATTAAATCCCTTTTAATTTTATATTTGATAATATAATACTGATATCAACATTTACAACTTGATATTTTATGCATTATTCGTATTATATTTGACTTATTTACTTAAACAATTTACTATAAGGAAATTATAATTATAATAAAAGAAATTTCACAGAGATGATAAATGTCTCCTCAACATTTGTTATTTAAAATGGGAGACCGACGTTTTCTTCTAAGAGCCATTGGAAACAATGGTTTCATTTCCATTCTTCCCTGAAACATAATAACATAAGTACCTAAATATTATTTATTGATATGAATAATTATTGATAGTAATATGTGTGATGGAGTGTAAATAAAAATAAAATTATTTTACCATATCTTTATTGTTAATTTTAACGGCTTAATACACTTTAAGCTGTGTTTATTTTTGTATACATAATACAGTGTAATTATTACGAATTATACTAATTAGCAATGAGGCCGATATTACTTTCGAATGGTAGTCATTGCAAATTTGAGATAGGTATAACCGTTTATTATAGAATAATTTTATTCTATAATCAATGGTATAACGTATAAAAATACAAGTACCACCGCTATTTTTTTTCTCTAAACAGGCACTAAGTGTTTTTATTTTATAACATTTGAGACACTATGATCACAGGCTGAGACTCTCAATTCTCATATAATAATAATAATATAATAATAATAATAATAATAATAATAATAATAAACTTTCATAGTTCGTATACATTATACTGTACCAGCGTACTATTTTCCACCCTTCTAAATTAAATATTGCATTCGTTATACTTAGGTACACGTTGGAATCGTCGCCATTTTAAATTAACAAGCAATATCCAGTAATACTCAAAGTCCATGAATATTGTTTAATAAGATAATATTTGATGGAAGAATAAAACAAATCATTTTTTTAAAATATTGAAGATTTAATTTTGTTAATTGTTCACGTTTAAATCGGGGTATGTGTGTGTGTGTGTGTGTTACTAAGATTGTGTTTTATATTTTTATTTTTAGGTTGTGTCAGTTGCCTAACTTATTTTCGTTTATATTTGCAATAATTCAAGTTAAATATTATTTTATTTACGGGTAAAATTCAAATTTTCTCATTTTAGGATTAATTTGTTTCATATGTACTCATCAATTGTCTCTTTGTAATTTTTGTTCTTGTTCAGAATACGTTTTAATTAATTTTTATAATTAAAATAATATATCATTATTTTATAATACAATTAATATTATCAATAATACATAATATTAATATATTAATTAAAAAATGAATAATATTAACAATATAAAATATTATATAAATATTATTCAACCACAATTCGTTCAACGCTATTCGTACACGTATTATTACATTAACCGTATCAGAAGCGCACACAGGATTTTTCATTAATTATTTACTATAATAATTAATGTTGTACCTAATGTTGTATTAATGATAACCCAATGCAAACATATTGTTAAACGTTGTACAAAAAACAGTATATATTATTTATATTTGTACACTTATATCTGTAAAACTTGGGTAAGGTTAAAATTTAATGAAGAAGACATTTCGAGGAGGAGGAGAGTTATGACCTCTTAACCCCCCTGTGTGTGCCACTGGGCCGTATATATATATATATATGTTATAGTTAATACCGAATTCTATCAAAACTAGTTTTCACAAATTGAGCCGGTGAGAACTTTTGAGGGCCCCAGGGCTGATCGGTCCCAAGCACCCTTTACTCACACTTGTTTGGCCGAGATATACATATTCCTTATAAATACTTAAGTATAATAAAAATATTCAAATATGCATCTCATGCTACGGCGAATGAGATAATAATATAATTTGTAAAAAAGGCTGAGACGACGGGTTCTCTCAGAGGTACGGGCCCCAGAGTTCTATCCCTCACTGTCCCACCCTTTCACCCAGTGCTCGACTTGGCAAAATTAAAGAAGAGGGACTCTGTTTGCTTAAAAAAAATTGCATCCCCAAAACGTGTTAATCGTTATAATTATAACATCATAATAGTAGGGGGACGCTCAAATTTCTAAAAATTAGAAAGGGTACGCCGTCCCCCTGCGTCCCCCTCAAGTCGAGCACTGCTCTCACCAGACCTTTTTACAAATCATTTTAGTCTAATTGCGTATCAAAGTTATAGTGAACTGTTCCTACGCCACAAGTGAGAATTGCAAAGGGTTGCAAAAGTATGTAAAAGTCGTAGTTTTATTCGACCTTCAAAACTAAATTTTTCATTCATACTTTTTAAAACATGTAGCTTTTTTCAAATTTTATATACTACGTATGGATCTAATTATGAAATTATGAAAAGAGCCTAGGGAAGTTCATAAAGGAAATTTTATATGAAAAAATTATCGATGAATTCACCAGTCTTAAGCTAAGAAAAGCAAATTTTTAAATTATATAAGGCATAGATTCTTAACTTTTTATTGGCCATGGACTCCTTTAATACATAAAATATAATCAAGGACCCTCATTTAAAAAAAAAAAAATACATATATACAATAGAATACGCTTAATTAGGACACATTGGGCGGTGACCTATTCGTCCCCATTATCCGACAATCCCGATTAATCGAATAACTAATAAACCGAAACTATTAAAGTGCATATATGTACATACATAATAACTATTTAAAAAATACATACATACATACTTAATTCATACTTTATTTCAAAATGACATATTTTTATTATTATTATTATTAGCAGTAATAGATTATATTTATTATTTAGTATTATTATTATATCGTAAATTAATTAGATGATTATTTAGGGTTTAAACTGTAACATATATTTATATAATATAGAATACAATATATGTATAAATTTCATCACATCGGAAAACATTTTATACGCGCATATTTAGTACCTTGCTAGTTTCGGTTGCTAGAGCTGAGAGTTCCTTCAACGTACTTTTAAAAATAAAAACCTTTCATCCGTTCTGTTCTATATAAATAAGATTTTTCGAGATAGCACATCTTTGTAAGACGTTAGCATAGCAGATTGATTTTAAAATAGTTATCGACCCGTTTGTTTTAGAAAAAGCGAGGAAAACTCATTCGAAACAGCTTCATAACATATATTACGTGCATTCGTATTAAACGTAAAATAAATACAATTAATTCACGATAGATTTGTCGTCTTGTTTGTTTTTAAATGATTTATTGCACGCCGCCATGTATACCATCCGTGATCTGTCTACTCCTAAAAATTACCCAGAAATTTAGACGAACGGTCAAAAATAGTGGTACCACCCCAAGGCGATGATGACAATCGGACGTACTTGTTCTGCGCGCACGTTGGCCGCGAGACCAAGCAGCACCATTGATACATCGTGTAGCCCGACGGTTACCGTCAAACAGGGCCGTAGCAAGGGGGGGGGTAGAGGAGCCTACGTCCCAGGTGCAATTCCTGGGAGGGTGCAAAAATTAAAATTTAATTGTTACTTATAACTTATAAGTAAAAGTCATATTATGTATTTATATATTTACTTATATAATATATAAATATTATTATGTTATGTCTATGAATCTAATTATAATTATTATGTATATTAAATTTTATTGAGTTATTGATTTAAATAAAATTAACAAGTGCTTACATAACTATAAAGAAAAATTATTATTTATATTGATTTTATAAAAAATATTCAGTTTTTTATGAGTTTTTTTTATAAATTAAAATATTTAAGGCCGCATTTTGAAGTTCCATCCTGAGCGCAATATTTGGTTTCTAAACCGCTCTGCCGTCAAATATAACTAAACATAACATATATATATAATATATGTAAATATTTGTTATGTTTACTTATATTTGACATAACTCCCGTGCACCGGGTAAACACTTGTTAACGTGAACACCCGTACGCTTGATGCCATCGTGCCCGAGACATCGTTTCTCGCGTACGGTTAACCCGTAGCCGATCCGTTGGTATTGCGAAAATGATACGTGGATCGTCGGCCGCGGACAGTACTCGAAATCCCTTCGCAGCACCGCGTGTGCGTATTGTCGATTTGCGTCAAGCATCTGTTTACGTTGGATCCAATCACCGCGATCGGAAACTGACTTTTTCCCTCACATCCCCCCCCCACCGGTCAAAAACGGTCACACGAGCGGTTGCACCCATTCCCGAAGGGATGTGCGGGCAAGTGATTTCGCAAACAAACACTATTATTCCCCAGGCGCGGCCATTTCAAGAGTCGATCCGAAAAAAATAATCTACGGACATCGTACCAACATACATGGTGTGTTGTAAACATGATCACATGTCCGTTAAGTTTTAAAGATTCTACAGTAGGCGGACAATCCGGGCATCACCCGGTACGTTGTGAACGGAATCGTACAGTTTAAGTGAATCGATGATTGCGGGAACGACACGACGAGTCACGTATCCCGTGAAATCCAGATATGAATGAAAGCTTATACTAGTCGTGCGTTTCTACGTGTTCAGTGTAAAAACACCGATTGCTATTAGGTATTTAATTATCCGATAAAAACAGTATAGTTGTGTGACGTTTTTGCATTTAACGCGTAGAAGCACATGAATAGGATACGTTTTTATTAATATCTCAATCCCATTAAATATGTGATTCGGAGTCTAAGAGTAAGGCTCCGTGTTTTAACTGATGTTGCTCAAATTCAATGTAACTTATTATAAAATATTTGGTAAAAAACAAATTATGTTTGTAATACCAAAAACGAAACAAAATGTACTGAATTTTCGTGCAAACACTTATCATGATAATGTAACAGCTATACAATTGACTAGAAAAGTACAAATCATGAATAATTGAAGCTATCTGAGAGAAATATAGGAAATTTGAGAAAAATATTCATTGGGACTAATATGTCCAGTGGCGAATTTTCAAATTGTTGGTAGGAGGGGGGTGAGTTATAATTTTTTTCAAAAATTAAATGAATTTATTGAATTACTAACTAAATTATTCTATTATTATCACCAAATGATAATTGAAGAGACTAAATGAAGAGTTATTTACATCCACATGATATAAATTAATGTTCCCTTTCTCTGTACGTTCGTAGCAAGTCATTTATGACTTTTGAACCTTTTTTCTTCTGGGGGGGGGGGGGGGGGGTGAGACCCGAAAAACCTCTCTCCCTCTCGAAAATACACCACTAAATATTCCACAGTATATTATTTAATTGTACCATTATGTACATATACCATTACGAATTTGGATGGTATTATTATAGTTTTTAAGGTTTGAAAAAC